AGGCCATTCCTATTAGGTTGGAGGCCATTCCTATTAGGTTGTCACATGTTGTCACTCTGAAGAGTTTCACAGTGTCTCAGGAAGGCCTTGGAGGTGACCAAGGCTCAGATCAAGTCCCACAACCGCCACTCGTCGATGTCGGCATGGGCGTAAGAACGCGGTGTCAGGTGAGGTTGGTTGGAATGGCGACTTGGGGGATTTGGGGGATGCTTCGTGAAGGTGTTCTTTGCGCAAAGTTGGTGAACTTTGAGTGGTGGTTAAGTTTGATTGGGAAGTTGGTGAGAGGCCATGTTCCTAGTGGTGCTCATAACCACCCTGCAAGTGGGGTTTCGATCAAGCCTCACTCTTCAATGGTTGGCAGGATGCCAAAGAAGTTTTTTTGGAGTGCCCAGAACAACCGAAAAGGAAGAGGTGACCCGAACAAGACAGAGCATATGTAACATATGTACATACAAAACAGCGGACCAGACGAATCGGACCGATGGACCGCACCATCCTCGCTTCCGCGCGTCCTCAGGTCGGGTGGCAGGGACGGTCATCATGGCCATGTTGGCATTCGTGATCTTGCTTTGTGGCGTGGCCTTCTTCTTCGGACGATGCTCGACTGAAATGAGGTGAACTTTACTCTTGCAAGTGTTCAATCCAAGTCTTGAGCCCATATCGGATAGATGGCAAATTGGAGGGTCTAGAAGCGTTGCAGATTGACGTACATAGTTGAAAATGTTGAAACATTTGGAAGCAGATTTCACAAGAACTCAAGGGCCCAGAGACGTTGTGCTTCGTTTCATTGCGCACCATCAAGGTTTGCACGGTGACGAAAAATTGGATCCGTTTTATAAGGGAAGGGTGGGGTGGAGGTGGAGGCCATCGCTACTTGTATCCCTTCCCATGCGCTTCATTTGAGAAAAAGAAACGAAAGGAGACATTCATCGAAGCTGAGGAGTAGCAGTGGCTCAAGGCATCCAAAATGCCTTACGGGGGCCACAGCTCACTGTGAAGCAGACCACCTTGTCCTTCAGGAGAACTGGGACAGACCGCACTCAGCTGTCGGGGATGGGTGCACACCGCTGGAGACGGTGAGACTGCTGGAGACGGTGAGACCTCCCAACGAAACCACGACAACCCTCTTGGGTTTGTTAGACCCTTACCAGCTTTACCAGCTATAGAAGGTAGGCCTCATTTGGCACGTTGCCTAGTTGCAAACCGTGGGTTCCCCGATACTCCACAAACCTTGTCAGTCAACCTGTCTATGACCTATGGAATCACAGTGTCCTCGAGGAAGGCATCAAACTCCTGAATTAGTCTTTAAGGTGGTGCCACCCAGAGGCTGTGGATTGGCACAGAGGATTTGTTCACCCTCCTTTGCACCTCCGCACTTCTTCGGCCCGAAGGAAGGCCAAAGAGTCGGCGAAGGACCTGGTGGTGGGTGCAGGCAGGGTTGGAGACTACGTAGTCATCCAGCATTTTGAGGGCTCTCTAGTAACAAGTGCCACGCTAGTAGTAACAAGTGCCTTACTAGTAGTAACAAAAAGCTAATAGAATTAAGTTTAATTTTACGTTATAACTTAAAAATAATAGCTTCTTGTTACTACTAGTAAGGCACCTGTTACTAGTAGCGTGGCACTTGTTTCCAATAGCTTCTTGTTTGAATATAGTTGAGTTGTACCCCAAGGAAGTTATGGTTATAGGTTCCATGTTAGGCCAACCATGTCGTGCCCTACCTTCACGAATTTGCTGGCCTCAGCCCTCAGCACTCAAAGACTTCAACTTCTCGTTGGTCGAGGAATGGCTGATGAATTTCATGGAGTCACAAACCTTCTTCAAGTGTCCAGGGTAGACAGTAAATTGTCCACCTCCACCTGGATTTGGGCATGCTCCCTATAGGGTCATACACGTGCGCCACAGGCTGCATTTGCCATGTTTCTGCACAGTCAGAAACTGGGTTGTACTTGGTCATGAAACGGTCATATTCTCACGAGGCTGTATGTTGTCATGAGAACTAATTGTTGCTGGTCCCAAACGGTTTGCAGTTCGAACGCTTGGGTGACTCACCCGATAGTCTATGCACATTGTTGGAAGCTAAAGGCAAGGAGACGTCCACCGTGTCCACCACAGATGCCCCACATCCGCCTTCCGAGGCAATGCCACAGCCAGCACTGTGGCCAGCGCCAGCCGCTCGACGGCGGGCGCCGCGCGCCACGCACGACACGGGCTGCGGCAGCTTCGGGAGGGCGCCCGACAGAGTGCGCAAGAGCTGGCAGAGGCCGTGAGGAGTCCAGACTGGCGACAGGCGGATGGGGAGAGGAATGGAGACGAACGATGGAGATGAGATATATGAGGTTGGGGGATGCTGGGAGATGATTGCGTTTTGGCCGCTAAAGGATGGGTGGTTTCAAGCATTTTGGCAGTTTCGGGCGGTAGTGCAGGAGGTTCTAGCAGGTCGAGAGCAGGCAAGGAGGTGGAAGATCGAAGAATGGTTCGTTTTCATCGCCAGAAGTTTCCTCTTGGATCTTATTCATGTCTTATCAAATGCATGGAGTTGCTGGGCAGAATGCGCGAATCCTGGAGTTGTCCAATTTCCCGAACCTGGCACTCTGAGTTTCTTCCGGTCATCCATGGCTACCTGAAACTGGGGGTTGGAGAATGATAACGTTTGAGTCATCGGCCAGGTGCTTTGGAAGATCATGCTCTTGCCAGGAGCTGCCATGAAAACATTTACTGTGTTTGTTGAATCCGAGTTATCGAAACTTGTCATCCTGACTTGGGTTCGTTTTGGATGACATCGCAAACATAGTGCCATATGGCCATATGGTTCCCAATCTATATGTTGTTTTAATTTGGATATATTTGGTATATTTTGGTATAAGGGATCACAACATCGATACCTTTTAAATTTGCATCCCCTAGTGGAAGTGAGCTTTGGTCATCTTAAAAGAACTTTGTAAACCTCAAAATCCAACACGACACAGAGCCATTTTGCCTGATCTTGCCATCGCCCATTCTTGCCTCAGTCGTTTGCAGGACGTTTGGCCATCCAAGGTGCGCTTGGCTCGTACGTTCGCCAGACTCCGATGGTTCGTTCCGGAACGATCAGTGTATTTGAAAGATATCAGAAGATCTTGACATACAAGAAGTCAGATGGGTGACTCTTTCAGCCACACTTGAATGGTGATTCAGCCCTAAATACTGGTCAGACAAAGATATTGGCCCACTAGGGCCCACGTGGTGATTCCTAAAGATGTGCAAGCCCAAGCTTCGGAATAGAGCATGGCAGCATGTCCAAATAAGCTCCTGCATTGAATGTCCAATTAACATCGTGTCCTTTTTATTCCATGCGGAGAACGTGAACTCTCCAAATCAGACCTGCCTATATGAAACTCAGCTCTTTCATCCGGCGGTCCTCAGGTTTACGCGCCTTGTACCAGCAACTCCAAGAAGCGCTTATGTCCTTGCAACTGGTCTGGAGCTTTACTTCTTCTCTTTCAATGGGCAAGTTTTTCTTCAGCATCAAAACATGGAAGGTATAATATAGTGATTTATGGGATCCAAAACTGACCAAGGCGTACTGGTTTCAGCGCCTTGAACTTTCGGGAAGGGGTGGATCAACACACGACAAGTACAAGCCAGGGTGATTATCATTCCAAAGGGGGACGACGGGGGACGGCTTTTTTTCAGTTCGCTGATTTGATTCACAGCAGAAGCTAAAGTGGTTGTCTTGAGTTCTTCGTACCAAGCCCCTACGGTTGGGGGCACCCTTTCAATCACTCAGGTTGTTGCTCACCCACCAGACCCTGCGGACCCAGTTGTTTCAGTATTGAGAAAAACACTCACGATGTTTCCAGATGAGTGGGCTCAAACCACGGATCAAGGCACCACCATTTCGCTTTGGGACTCCATGCGGTACAGGGTGCTGCACATCGTTGTTGGCGCCACCTCAGGAGCGGCTGACCAAAAGAAGATTGCAAGAAGATTGAAAAAGACAACTGATCAAATCAATACGCACACATAATATAAGTACAGACCTTGAACAGCATCAATATGGTGCTAGGCAGTGCTAAAGGTCTTCGTTTTTGGCCCTGCAAAGTGCAGGATCCGCCGACTACGAGAGGGCGATACAGACAAGACTGTGAAGCAAAGTGTGGAGGACAAGCCCAAGTTTCGATGGCCGTGGCAAAAGCCGGAGGAGTTGAAGAAGGAGGTGGCTTGGAAGGTGGAGGATGGTGGAGGTACGTATTTTAACCATGACATATAGATCGCCAAATTGAATCATTTCCTGAGCGGTTGTCTAGCCTTGAATTACTTTGGGAGGGCTTTCCCGAGTCTTCAAAACAGGAAGCGGGGGCAAGGGTCAAAACACGACATTCTTTGAGGAAGTGACAAGGTGAGCTATTGCCATGGCATTCTCCATTTGTCATACAAGAGGTTTATGTTATCCAGTTCAATTGGTGTTCTTGTATTTTTGTTCCAGCGAAATCCTTTTCCAGTCAAGTTTTTTCGCTTATATGCCAGCTGGTATTGCCTTTAGAGGGCCTTTTCTGTGAAAGCTTGGTTTGGTGAATGACTTTCACGACGTATGCTGCTCACTGAGGCGGATCCCTGGTGGAAGCGACTCTTGCCAAAGAAAGAGCGGGATGAGAAAAAGCTCAAAACCAGCTTTGAGGGAGTGGATCTGAGCGGGTGATTTTCTCCGGGGTTTCTGAAGATTGCCTCTCTTGACTCTTCATTTCAAGGTGTACTAGGGCATCGCTACTAGGAGCAAGGGCATCGCTACTAGGGGCTCCTGGCATCGCTACTAGGTACTTTTGTCCCTTTGAGACCGGTCAGGTGGAGCGAACCAAGCGGACCTTGGAGGTGCAGAACATCGGTGTGGATCGGTGGATCGGACCACAACCGACAAGGACGCAAAGGAGTGTAGACATCGCTATGCCGCAAAGCATTTGCTTTCTTTTTTCCCTGACTGTTGAAGATGCTCCAAACAGACGTGCACCGGTCTCAGAAACTCTCTCAGAGCGAAAGGGAGCGTGCGCGGTGGGAACACTTGTTTTCAAGTCGCATCGCATCTTCGCTCATCTTCGCTTCTCCCGAGCCATCCCTGCTCCTTCTTGGCGTGGACTGCCAGGTGAACTTCCCAAAGGTCACGGTTCACGAAGAGGAGGGAAAGCACTGAAAACGCGATGTGGTGTGATGGTGTGTGGAGGTGTCAATGGGCTTAGGGGATCTTAGGGGTTTGTTAAATCCCAGAGTGGCGGATTCTTGTCCGAGATGTGCGGAAGATGCCAGGTAGCGGTTATATAGATCCCCAGGTAGATAGAAAAGTAGATCCGCACTAAACATGTATTGGAAACCGTGCCACTATCTGTTCGGGGACCACTATAGAGTCTTCGCCATTCGCAATGTTAAGCTTTGCCCTTGAAGAATCACACGAAATCGGAAGGATACTATAGCGGCTACACTCCGGGATAGTGCAACGTGTGGACTCAATCATCCAGTGCATTCGTACGCGGAAACCCAGCATGTTCGATTCATGTCAATGATTAAGGTGCTCTATCTTATTAAAGTACCATAAAGTACCTATTGCATACTTGGATTCATTCAGGGCGTAGAATCGCAACGAAAGCAAGCCCAGCTGCAGTGCCAGAACGTGACAGGAGACCCCGCTGGGCGGGTCTTTGCGAGGTGCTGGTGGGCTTTCTTGCTTTGATTGGCATTGGACAATAGTGAACGATGCCGTTGCTCAGGGTTCCTTTGCTACTAGGAGCAAAGGGCATCGCTACTAGGAGCAAGGACGCTACTAGTAGCTCCTGGCCTTACTATTAGGAGCAAGAAGCTACTAGGAGCAAGAAGCAATTAGGTTGGAGGCCACCATAATTCTTATTCCGCAAGGTCGCTCTCGGCTACTGGCTGACTCGGCAAGAGACACTGAGCAACTTGGATCCCAGCGAAACGAGGGGTGTTTTGCCTCAAGGTGGAACTCGGTGTATTGGGCTGACATTTGTGCAAAGCAATTTCAATCTATCCAAGACGGAGACCCATTCTTCAATGACATCGGAGAAAAGAACGAAAAGAGAGAACAATAGAAACCTAATAGCGATGGCCTCCATCTTACTAGCGATGGCCTCCAACCTAGAAGCGGTGGCCTCCAACCTAGTAGCGATGGCCTGCAAGCCTCCAACCTAGTGGCGATGGCCTCCATCCTACTAGGCAATCATAAGATCAACTGTTGTGGGCATGCTTACAATCTTCCTACTGAGGGCTGCGAAGGTTCTCCCCCCCGCTTCGACACACCCAAGGCACTTGCGGATGGCGCTTACCCGCAGCTTGAACGCTTTCAATAGCAGCAGTTTGCTGGTGGTGCACGAGGCAGTGTGAAGGGTTTGTTTGAACAAGTTATTTGAAGAGGTGTATTTGACATATGTACACATAAATACACACATAGTTATTGTATAATATTGTTTATATAGTTTATATATTTATATATGTGCATATGTATAGTAATAGTATTGATTGATAATAAAGCGTTTAGATGTAGACAGTTATCGAATTGAGTGCTAAGTGTTCAGGGCCGCAAACATAACGTGGAAGTGGTGGACCATGCACCAGTCAAACACACAAACACACACAGGGAAGTTGTCGATCAATTGCTGCCACTCAAGTTGATCTGGATCCACAACACGCGTGAATCGTTTCGGCCAACTGTGCCGCCAATCTGTCCAAGTAGCCTGAAAGGATTTTTCTTTTCCAGATGATAGACCATCCTGATTGGGGACACAACAAATCATGCAGTGAGAAATTGATCCTCGATCCCGCAGACACACAAGTGAGCTGTCAGCGCGCCAGGGCACACTCTTCTCTCCGGATTTCCTTCAATTCTTCAGTCAGCTAGAGTTAGTCATGGAGGAGGTTGGGATGAGACCGAGGAAAGTTGAAAGCGTGTGAAAACGAAAAAGCAGACAACGGCAAAGCAAAAGGCAAAGCAGTCTCCTGCATTAACACTGATATGGCTGTTCCTGGTTGTGACTCTGGCTCCATTCTGTCGATTCAAGAGCCCAGCTGACCTTTGCGGTTCATCAGGATGCTACAGTTTGGTGTGTTGGAGCCTGGAATGATGCAGGCGGCTGGAGCATTGTGTTTTGTTGGGGTACGTTTCCTCTCCTTAGTTCTTTCTGCTCTAGCCAAGCCGAAGGCGTTTGCGTGCCAAAGTGCAGATTGCCTCAGTTTGCATCACAATTAAGGGGTACCGCCACAAACCGTAATCAAACAGTACTTACCAAATAGGTCATCACATTGGTCACGGTGCTGTATGTTTGACTGAGAAACTTTTGAACACAAGCGCATCGGTGTGAGTGCCTACAAACCATGTCCACCAGGGGATTCCCCATATTGATCCATCCGTGCTTATCATATTGCTGATCACTACGTAAGTCGTGCTTTGCTCGAACGCCGGAGAACCTGCCGGCAAGCTTTGTTCTAATATATCTCGTTTGGAATTGACACCCTCGGTCTGGTTCAAGACATGTGAACATCAAGGAACTCAAGCAAGCGCGGTTTGGTAATGATTCATCGATGCATTTGGTTGTTCTACAATGTTCTCCAACCCTTGCTTAAGTAACTGTTGATGGCTTGGACAAAGGCCTTTCTCGTCCCAGAGGGGTTCTATGGTTTAGAGACACTGCCAGCTTTTTATCCAAGCATTGGGGCCATTGGGATCCCAATACCTGTGCCACAAGTCGACCACTCAACCTATTTGGTAAAGAAGACACCGCAATAGTAAGCTTCAAAGAAGAAACAAATTCAAAGAAACTAGTAGTAACAAGTGCATCGCTAGTAGTAACAGGTGCCTTACTAGTAGTAACAAGAAGCTAGTAGGAACAAGTGCCATGCTAGTAGTAACAATGCGACTGGGCAAGGCTTGGCACCTTATGTGGCAGACCGCACTGCGTTGCTGCGCACGGTTCGGATGCCCAATGGGCGATGTTCAGGGGTGAGAGCCGAGAAACACGTGTTTCTAATAGCAAACATTGTTACTACTCGCGTGGCACTTGTTACTAATAGCATTCAATTGGTTTTGGTTTTATTCACCAGCTTAAGTTCACTGAGTTTTTGACATTTTGCATGTCACAATGCCCAGGGCTTTGAGTCTTTTGTGTCCGTTTTCCCACGTTCCTTGATGTCGATGTGTCCCCCAAGGACTGGCACCCTGCAAAGTATGCCTGGATGATGCGTCGCCAGACGCTTCAGGAGAGAACGAATCCACTTTTGTCAGACTCGAAGAAAGAGTTTGTCAGGTCACTGCGGATCAAAGGGTTGAAAGATGCTGAAAGCCTAAGCACAAAGCCTTAGCTTCTCACATAGTCATGCCAGGTGAAGACTGATGTCTCTGGGACTGCATGATGGTCTGTTTCACGCCCGAAAGGGGTTCTTGGGGAATCCGGAATTCTCAGAAGACCTCTCCATGGATTCTTTGTGTTCGCTTGAAGGTACAAGGTAACAAGAAGCTAGTAGTAACAAGTGCATCGCTACTATTAACCAGTGCATCGCTAGTAGTAGCTAATTTACTACTAGTAACAAGAAGCTAG